AGAAAATGCAGCAATGCTTCCTCTATCTGCAATCCCACTGAAATTGCCTTCCAATCCCGTAAAAAACACTCACTGCCTCACCCTATTAACTGAAAGTCAGACCTCTTCCAGCTTCATGGTATCAAGGGTAAGAAGCCAAGGCTGCTTGCTGAAAATCCCCAGCCTGGTGCCCAGACACACACACCTAAACGGCTCTTTATTTCACTTATTTCAAGTGATGGAGTAAGACACAAGAACAGCGGCTGCTTTTAACTACACAGGGAATTACAGATCAAAACTTTCCTAGAACAGCATGAGGAAATGCTGTGCTGAAGTCAGTGTGGGTCTTCTGAGATTCTGAGGAACTTTACTGCATGGTCACATGGAATGCAGCAATACTGGAGTTGGAATTGTTCAGTGGAAGCAGACAAAGGTTATTGGGATCACAGACACAACATTACCTTCCCAGATTGAGTGAGATGAGGCAAAATGAATATTCCTTTTCGCGTGTGAAATTCCAAACTCATTCTGTTTTCCCTAAACAAAAAAGTATTTCTTCTCAAACTTGAACATACTTCAGTTAAAACATTAAAACTCAAACTCTACATGTTGCCAAAAGAACTTACCACCGCTCTTGACTGCTGGCATTTAATTCTCCCAAGATGCTACCTTTTGGATATTACATGTTAATCCCATCACTGCCTGAATCCTGTCATATTCTCATCTTTTAGTCTTAACTCAGTGCAGAAAGGCAGTGAATGCAGTGAGGATGTGTCATAAACAGTATTGCGATATAAATGGAAATCTTAGGAAAATGCTAGGTTGGAGCTATCAGTTTGGAGGGTTGGCATGTGGGAGAAGAGGAAGGGGAGGATAAGAGCTGTCTTTGTCAAAACTGTCTTGTTGGCCTCGCTGCCTCTCATCTTCCCCGACTGGGTGTCAGTGTGAAACAGCTTAGCGAAAAGTGAGTGGAAGAATCATTCAGGCTATTTATGGCATTCCTTGCCAGTCTGCTGGTTGCCAGAGTTCCTCTGAACTTGTAGGCCATACTACATGTGAGACGCTCCAGCTTACCTCTGATCTTTGGACCTTTGACATCCTTCTCCTGGGGGGTTTCCATGAGGGGCCAATGGGAAGCAGAGTAATAGAGGGCGGGTTAGGAAGTGGGGCTCAGTAAACGTAAACTTGCTTCTCAAGCCTGCTATCCACCTTGCAGCATGGACAAAAGCCCAGGTAAATGAGTGGATAGTACAGCCAAGTACTACTCCTTCTGATGAAGCGGACACATTGACCTAATCCTCTTGGCTCAGCAGTCAAAAACAGTAAAATCTAGTAACTGTGGTCATTAACAGGCAGGAGAGTTGCAGACTGGACTGTTACTGAGATCGCAACAACATTCAGAACACAGTGGAACTAGAAACCATTGCTTTGATAGCAAAGGGAAAGGAGCCACCTGTAAAGTTAGGTTAGAAAAAAAGTGCTTGAGGTGAGGAAGCAGTAAGAAAGATGTATAGGGGAAAATGAGACAAAAGGCTTTTCCATCACATTCCTATTTCTTTCCCCAAAATCGGCCTGTTAAGACATGCATGAAAAAGTATTAATTTGCAGTGATTGTCACTCCTAATTGAAATCTATAATCCCATTACAGATGCATCCAGACACATTTAATCAAATCATATCCTGTTGTGCAAATTGAGATCCAAGTTCATATCTCATTTCTAAACAAATTACACACAGTGTGAACGTCCTGGTGCTGCATTAGGCATCTTGTAGCAAATGCTGCCAGCTCCCTCAGGTTAGCTGAGAAATTGGGTTGCTGTTGGTTGTAATTTATAAAGCATAGCGGGATAGCTCATTTTCCAGGCTGTCTTGGATTTCCAGCTAGGCCAGCTCATGGGGATATTTTGTCTTCTGCAATATTCTAGTGCCGCAGAGAGGCTTAAATATAGTTTCTTTGAGACTTCTGTGAAAACTGGCAGACTTTTTCGTCAAAATTGAAGGCAAGGCTTCTAAAGTAGAACATTTCTTAGGCTGCTGGCCTTTATTTGGCAGACCTGACAATTGAGCTGGAATGCATATATTTTCAAAGTGTGTGGAATAGTATCTCTGACTTGCTTTCCAATGCTCAGTTCAGCCTTGAAATCTAAGATCTGAATTTGGTTTTCCACTGAAGATTTTATAAGCAAGGCACTTACAAAATCTATTGACTGCTTGCTTTTTCCTGACACCTGCTGCTCCTAATATCAACACCTCCATTTCCCTTTACTGCTTAAAATAACCACCCAAATAGAATAATTTTGCTTGAAAGATAGCCTGTCACCTTAGTTTCCATAATGCCACGACATTGGGCTCTAGGTGGCAGCATATGTGAATGAATATTAGATGTTTGTGCTAAACTACAAACTCATAGCAAATATGTCTGGACTGATAGTTGTTGTAGCCTTGTCTTGCTTAAAAACATTTCCATTTTTTTTTTGCACTTTCTAATATGTATTTTTATCCTGTAAGCCCTAGCGGTGTCCTAGGCTAATGCATTGAACTACAGCTCAGATGGTGTAAGAAGCAAGTGGACTATTAAGAAATTGTTTAAAAATAAACCCACTCATTCAAGACTGAGGAAGAAGACCCTCCAGCCTGACCGTAAACATCCTTCTCCTCCCAACAAGGGCCACAGGATACTGGAAATGGTGTAACACACCCCACTTCCACTTAAGGAAGAAATATTAAAAGTATTTCATTGAGATAACAATAAATTCTCAACTGCTTTTGCACTGGTATCTTCATTTCTGCCCATAATAAGAGTTAGAGGGTAAACAGCATCTCTTATTCCAGCAGCTGCAGCTGTGATTGATCCTATTGCCCTAGGGCAAATGCGTGTGCCCCAGTAGAGTATAGACAGAACCATTGCCACTGCCCAGGTAAATCTCTTTGGGACGATGGGCCCCAGTGATATCTTGCAGAGATTAAATTTCTTCCTTAGAGCATTTGTAAGGATTTCAGTTTTGTTCCTTCACACTTCGAGAATTGCATCCAGGGGTGCAATGAGCACTTATCTCCATATATGTGTGAGTTCACATGTATACTGTAACTTAAAATAAGACAAGTTATTAAATTTACTTGCTTGCTGTTCCAGAGTGCAACCTACCCCTACATCTATATAAATAGAAAGTTATGCTGCGTTACTTGTAAAATATGAAAAGTAGAATATGCCAAAATTTACATTTGTCCTTAAAAACTTTTTTCCCCTCTCCCAGGAGCTCTGTCTTTATTTCTACCACACAGGCAATTATTTGAGGGCGGCACAAGTGCTTTTCTTTCCAGCTATTAACTTCTGTATATGTTTTCCCTTGTGATGCTCTTGCTTCAGTCATTATCTGGGCATCTGTAGATTTACAGACTAGAATCTGCACTATTGGTAAGCAGGAAAAGCAACAAAATGCAGCACATATCTATTTTTGTTTTAGCCTTCTGCTCTGGGCAATTAGCAACCTGGAACTGACTTATATACCTGGATGTGTTGCATGTTTATGAAGCAATCAAAAAAACCCTTCAGTATTATCTAGCTGAATGCTGCAGATTTTTGTTTTCTAGTTCTGTTATGTCTTCATTTTAATCATTAGTGATACGCCCTGTGGGAATGGAATATTTGGATTTTCTAGGATTCATTTTGTCAGCACAGTCTATGCATATATACTGTCATTTGAATATATTTTATAATACAAGGATGTAAAATATTTCATGTAGACAGCTATAAATATTTAAATATTAGAAAAAAATGATTAAATGGGAAATGTAACAACAGCCATTTCTTGGGAAGAAACAGTCTCTCTCTCTCTCTCTTTTTTTTTTGCTTTCAAGCTCTAAAGATTGGCATGTACAAGCTAGAAGAGGATTTCGGCTGATGCCTGATCAGCAGAATGCAAAACAGTGGTCTGGATTCTGACTTGATAAACGGATGTCACGCTCAAGGAAGCAGTAAGCAGCCTAGGCATAAACTGGGTCAGCTTCATGGGAAGAGGCTAGTCCAAAAAAGCAAGCTAAGTATGAGCTGTCAGTGAAACACTGTTAAGGTTATTCCCATAACCGTTATTCCTACACACATCCTTACTTCTGTCAAAGCCTTACAGAGAGACTCCTTAGTTCATGTACACTAATTTATTTATTCCTAATTCCAGTATGTGTTCAATAACCCCTTGGTGACATTTGGATGTGGATCTTTGTTGCTTTTAATGAACTGAACTAAAAAACAAAATCTGAACTTCCTCCAGTTATGAAAATTTGATTCTGGCTCTTATTGAGGAGAGCCAAAGACTTAAGTTCCTTCCTTCCTGAGAGAAGAGGTTTTTATACTAAAGAAAGACCTCCTATATAGATACACTCAGGCTCACGTTGCTCAAACATCCTCAATTTGTTTATCAAGGATTATCCAGGAGGAATAGTTATATTTATGTCCTCTGAAATATGAGCTATGCTCTATGTGTTACATTTACAATCCTGGAGCTGTTGGTGTGTTACTTTTCTGCAGTAAATTGCACACATAATCATATAGATGATATAGATGATTATGCTCATGAGAAAACCCTAGTACGAAGTAATTAGTATGAAATAATAGACTAACTGTATAGAATATCACGCATATATTGCCTTGGAAGTCACTGAAAACACTTTCAGTGACTTCTGATGTGTATTGTAACATGCTTCTAGTGAGGAGAAAAGCCAAATGCAATTAGAATAGTGCTTTAATTGTTTTTCTTATTTTCTAGCCCCCTTCAACCCTGACAGTTGTTCCCAAAATTACCAATTTATTGGGCTGTACTTTCAGTTGCTGCATTACCTTCAGTCTTAGGACCACATGTTCCAGCTGAAAACTTTGCCCATTGTCAATCATTATTCCACTCCTAGATTTAGTAAAAACACTATTAGGATGAACTTTGGGATTGATACCATCAGTGGCAGTCCTAGTCCTTGTTGGTTGGTAGATATCTCAGCGCAAAATTCTGGAGTAGACTTGTGTGCATGTGGTTGTGTGAATAGACATATAGAAGATTAAGGAAATAATATCATACAAACCAAGAACAGTTTATTTTTTCATTACCAAAATAATTGTGAAAAGAGGATTAAGTATAGTTGTTGTAAGCTAGAAAACAAAGCAAAATGTCCATTCTTTTGTGGAAGACCTTGTAACTTTCTTCTCCACAGCTGATTTTGTAGTTAGCCTAAGGTAATACATGCCTGCTGCGTAAGCTTGTGAATAGCACAAGTAATCCTTCCTGGTGGTTACTATGCAGGCACATGAATGCATTAAGGCTAGTAAAAACATGTATGTATGGAAATGTCTTATATGTTCAAGCAAATTGTTTTTTTTTCTTTCAACCCAAACTCTAATGCTAAGGGGAGCCTCAGAAAAAGGACCCTCTCTTAGCCATGACAGAAAGTTCCTTACAGAAGAATTTTCAGTTTCCTTTGGCAGTCTATTTCCTGTCCCCCTACAAGGGCAACTGTGGGATTTCTTTCTCCCAACCCTAACTCTAGGCATAACCCTATGTTCAGCAAAGGAATCAATATTCCTGATAAAGCATGTTGGTGGCTTTACCTAATTTTAAAAGATGCCTCCAAAATATTGTTCTAGAATTTATTTTTTTATAACAGTACCTAAACCCTTATCAACAAGTCCTAAATCTGTGATGAGCATCACAAAAGGCCAGACAGACTTACCCATACTGAAAAGTCCCCAGGATAATATTTTTTCCAACTCCCAGATCCCTTTGGCAGCCCTTTTCAAGTCCCATTGCACCTGCAGCTCCTGCCTTTTTATTTTTCCCAACAGACCTAGCCCTAACCCTACACTCTAACCTAAGCTGACCCATAGCGAAGGAAACCTTATCCATCCATTAAATATGCTTTCAGAAATCTGATGCAACTCCCCAGTTTTAGCATCAGCTCCCATTTAACACTGAAGGATATGTTGCATCTCCACTCCACATTCATCTCTGAGCTCTGTCTCTGTGTCTACTCTTACCCACATGCTTGTCTGACATATGTGCCAAAGACAGCGCTCTATCCAAAGATTCAGTATTCTTCAGAAGAAAATATTAGAGTTAGCCCTTGGGTTTCTTTGTCAGCTGCTGTCCAGATGCAATCACACTTTAGCTCCGGGCTTTCTCTTTCAGTAAAAAATAATCCTAAACCAAACCCTAAAATGAACCTAAGCAATAATAATAAAAAAATGCTAGTGAATATGAAAAATTCCTAAGGAAACAATTATTTTTGTACCACTCAGTTTCTTTAACAGCTCTTTAATGATTTAGAAAAACAACCTAGAGCTACAGCTTGAGTGGTGCAGGAAAGGGGCTGCCAGAAAAACTGTAAGCTAGATTTCCCCCTTGAGTAAAGCTTTTTCTGAGTAAGGAGGAGGACAGCATCTAGGTTTAGCCTATGGTTAAGATTACTTTTAGGAATAAAGCTACAATTAAGAGAAAAACACATAGTAAGTATTGAATATCTGTGGTTAGGAGTTTGGAAATCCTCTAAGAAAAAAAAGACCAAAACTTTATTTTCTTCTCTGAAATATTGATTGAAGTAGGAACCGTGGCCTGGGAAGTCAGGGTATTGTTAGGGTTTCTCAGGATTCAGGAAAAAAAAAAACCAAACACAGAAAACCAGTCAGAGTGGGCCTGCCAGATCAAGGCTTGGGCTACTAAAAGAATTGCCCCCAGAGAACAAGTTAATGTGGGCTACGGTCAGGGGGAACTTAGGCTGAAGGTTCATCTGATGCCAAGCCCAGACAAACCCTATGACAGGGTCTGTTGTAACCCTAATCAAAGCATCTGCTGAGTTCAGCATCCCCCAGGCAACAGCCCAGGTGAACAAGTCTTCAGGGGATAATTCTTTTTGCAGCTTATTCCTTGCTTTGGCAGTTCCTTTGCAGCTCCACTGTAACTGCTGTTCTTGGATGGCTTTCTTTCCAAACCTAGCTTTAGCCTCAGCTGAGCCTTGACTCAAATCCCACAGGCTATGGCATTGCCTTCTTTTTTTTTTTTTTTTCCAAGGATAATTCTTCTGGCAGCCTTCACCTGGCTTTGGTGGTCTTTTTGTATCCCCCCTCCAACTGCAACCCTAGGCTTTCTCTCTTTCCTAACCCTAAACCTAACTATAAATCTTGGCCTCAGCTGAGCAGTAGTTCATGCCATGCAGGACCACAACTCAGATGAATGAGTTGTCGGGAGACTATACATTTTTGGAACCTACACTTTCTTTTTGTAGCTCCTTTGAAACATTGCTCCAACTGCATTTGTAGGCTTTGTCCCTCTCCTCACTGTTACCCTAGCCCTTGGTGATGGTCTTGACCTCAGTTTATAGCAAAGGGTTGCTTTGATTGGAGAGGATATCAGTCCCATCAGAGGTGCAGTACTCATCTGTGGACTGTTCTGTCTATTCAGCCTCAGCTCTTCCTTTAAAAGATCATTTTCCTACAAACCTAGCCCTTAGCTTTCTGTTTGTTTCATCCCTAACCATAACTAAAAATAGAGCATATGTCAGGAAAGTCCAACCTTTGCCCAGACAAAAATTTCTCAGTGTAGAGATATCTTTGGAGATCACACTTTCTTTTGGCAGCACCTTTCCAGACTCTTTCAGCTGGAGCCCTGTGTTCTGTCTTTATATTTGATATGTATCTGCTTGTTGACCTACCTATGACCTAGCCAGTGTGTGTATTTTGACACATCAACACCTGAGAAGCTGAAAGTGATTCTGATTGTTGAATAATATAAATACTTCTTACTCCTGGATATATGGGTAAAGAAGTATGATGAGTATTTTTTCTTGCAATAAAACACCTTTTCTTTTTGTTTCATTATCTGCTTATGAATGATTTTCCATTGGCAAATTACTACTTAATGGCTCTTCTCATTTAACTCCCAGAAAACTAGATTCAATATCTCCACATATTAGGGAAAGCTCAGGCCTCTAGGGTTATCTGTACAAAATCAGTTTAAGTATTTGTAAATCTGAGTCTGTGATATTTTCAATTTGACTTGAGCAGATGAGTTTTTGATGGAGTAGGAATGACACAAATATATTTGTTCTTCTGAATTTCATAGCAGTAATGTCATACAAAGCATTTTGCTGTGTTTAAGCAATATATTTAATAGCATTCACATTAATTTTTTATTCTTTTGCTACCTACCTAACTAGAATGTCATATTTTGTTTAAGGGTCTTGAGTATTACGAAGCTTATGAGAGACTTATAGGTTGGACAGTGGCTGCTGGCAGTACTGTATTGTTCTGTTATAATCTTAGTGAAGGAAGGGTTTAGGTATTTTTGTGTTAAAACCTAATAACTTGCTCACACTGAGTTTCTTGAGACTCCAAAGGGTGAAGCAAGGTGACCTATATATGATCCACACACGATAGAATGAAACAAAATCTCCGTCGAAACTAGATTAATAAATCAGCAAGATTATAAGTGTCTGGAAAAATTGGTCTTCCCAGGGGAAGGGGAACCTAGAAGGGAGGACTTAGACCTAATATCAGCTGTGTGTTGCAAACTGAAGTCCAGCTTGGGGCAGACCAGGTGTCCCTGCTGGTGCTGAGGAGATGTTGAGTACCAAGCACAGAGCAAAGCTTGCAGATGAGCTTGTCTGGTGCCTCTCTACAACACATGGAACAGACAGGAAGGTGACTGGATGGAGACCCTCGTGTCCGGTCCCTTCCCAGGTAGGAGAATCTTCTTGTTCTCTTTCTTGTTCTCTCCTGGTGGGCACAGGCAAGACTGTGTCACAAATGTCTGCAATTCTTGTCTGAATATCTGACCAGTGTGCAGAGAGAAATACAATCTGGCACCCAAGGACATTAAGAGACTGACTAAAGCTGAGGGAAGATTAGTTTGCCCATGGGAATATTTGACCATGTGGATCTACCTGGATATGATCCTGAGGCAGAAGACTGCCCCAGTATCAGTGGGATTTTTGTTCAATTTTTTTTTATTTTGGTGAGAATAGAGACAATTAAAACAAAGAATATTATCCCTTTCCACATATTTTTATTCATCCATTCAGATCTCTTCAAAATACAATATTTTTAGCTGCAGGTATGGTAGTACCTCTTCAGGAGGTTTCTGAAGTCAATACTTCAGCTGCAGGGAGGTTCCTTCTAAATAGTACATTTATTGTCATTTCAGCCATGTTTAAGCTTGTTCAGATGCTTGTGTATTTTCATGAGCATTATTCCTCCTTGGAGTTGCGAACTTCCTGCAGAGGTTATTATTTTGAGCAAGAAGTGTTTTCTGAATCACATAGGCTCTTGCAGATACTATACATATGGTGGATATATTCTCACCTAGGATGAGACAGAGTTGATTTTTCCTTGCTGGTAGGTACAGAAAAAGAAAGAAAATGCTTCACCCTTTATGAGAATATGTAGGATTGGTGTTGCCAGGGATGAAAACGGTGGTCAGATTGCATGATGGATAAAGGATTTTCTGAGGCCAACCAATATGGAAAAATACAGGATGAGTTAATTGTATGAGTATTCTGAATTGAGTTTAGAAGATATGGGAATACAAAGGGTGAGATGTTAATAAGGGTCACCTGTGGATGATAAAGAGCTGTAAGGAAATAGAGGCCACCTGTAGAAGATTAGGAAGGTGGTTGAAATACCCAGCCCTGGACCAAGAAGGGGCTGCTGGGTTGTCACTGCTCCTTTGTCTTCTGCACAACCATTTACCTGAAGAAAGTTCAGGCAGGCAAGAGAAACATGGACTATTGTAATTGGAAACTGGCACTGCTTAATATCTCTTCTCTCTGCTATGTTTCCAAATCATTGTATTTAAGGATTCTCAAATAAAAATGAAAGCTAACTTACTTGTACTTGTGTCCTTACTTGTCTCATAGTTTTCCTTTATTTATAAGCTGTATCAAGCCCTTGAGAAACAAATAAAACAAACTGAAGCTTTCATAGCTTTTTTTCTTTTTTATGATACTTTAAATGTTAGCTGTGATTTCATCACAAAGTAGATAGATAGAACAGTGAAAATTGGCTGTGTATTGAATCATCAGTCATGGAAGCAAACAACAACAGTGTTTTATTTCACCTGATAAAATGTTTCAACATTTTTATTAATATTCAATATCTCTGGAGCACATTTATTCACTTGATAGCAAAGATTTACAATATGTATTACATAAACTGCCTGGAGGATAAAAACTTAAACTTCTTTTTATTAGCAATGATTGCATCCAGAAAAAAAGTTTTCTTTATTTTAACTTATCGTACAATGTTTGCAAAATAACTTTTTGCACAGATTGCTATCATGATTGCTATCATTTGCACAGATTGCTATCATTTGGGCTCCACAGTACAAGAGGGATGTGGAGCTGCTGGAGAGAGTCCAGCGCAGGGCTACAAGGATGATCAGGGGCCTGGAACATCTGCCCTATGAGGAGAGGCTGAGGGAGCTGGGCCTGTTCAGCCTGGAGAAGAGAAGGCTGAGAGGGGATCTAATCAGTGTATATAAATACCTCAAGGGAGGGAGTGCAGAGGACGGTCATGGTCTCTTTTCAGTGGTGGCCACTGATAGGACTAGAGGAAATGGCCAGAAACTGAAACATCAAAAATTCCATAGGAACTTAAGGAAAAATTTCTTAACAGTGAGGGTGACAGAGCCCTGGAACAGGCTGCCCAGAGAGGTTGTGGAGTCTCCTTCTCTGGAGATCTTCAAAACCCGCTTGGATGCAGTCCTGCGCCACGTGCTTTAGGTGTCCCTGCGTATGCAGGGGGGTTGGACTAGATGATCTCTAGAGGTCCCTTCCAACCCTAAGCATTCTATGATTCTATGATTCTATGATTCTATGAAAAAAAAGAAAGATTTTCTGAATTTTCTGCTTTCTATTTTGATCCTAAACTTTTCCCAAAGATCAAAATAACATTATTCAACTGAATTACCTATATTCTGTCAATATAAAGGGCTTAGTATTCAAAATCGATGTAAATCCTTAATTTGTAATATGGGGATAGTTATTGCACCAATAATGCTCACATAATAATAGATGATGTGATTTTAGTTTCTTATGGCATGAAATACTCAATAGATCTCGTTAGTAGCATTGCAATTCATGCATTTTAAAGCTTGAATTCTTAAATCCTTTCAGATAATGGATGTACAAAAAAACTTGCATGTCCATTAAAAATATATTGCCCATTCATAGGCTCTTTTTCCAAAGAATGTCTGCAGACAGTTTCTTACCACAAAGCACTGCTTAAATTCTTTTCTGTTATACAAGGAGTATTGCATGCTTGTATGAGGTGCGCATATAGACATACCTACATTTGAGCAATGACACTGTTCTTTTTTGTTATTTATCAAGTCATTTCTCAGGAAGAGTTCATGAATTACTTATGTTACTAAAGCCGACCTCAGAACTCTCATCAAAAAGAAACTGTGTTATTCACATTGTCTCCTAAAGGTGGTAAGTTCTGCATGTAATCCTCCTAGCTTAAGCCACCACTCATTTAAAGTGTTAAAGGGAGTTTCCCTTTGAACCCAGATCTGTAAATGTTCTCTGCAGTTTTATGTTGCTGCAACAACATACCTTATACTCTTTAAATCTTTAATTTACATGGAAATGCTCTTGCTTTTCTATGAACTCCTTCAAATTTGTCAATATCTCTTGCTTTTTAATACTGCTGTCTTGGGGAATGCGCTTGGAATACACCACGTGCTGCTAAAGCAGATCAGCAGAGAGATGGTCCGGGCCAGCTTGGTCCACGATGTGCTGCATTTGTGAATACAATGCTAATTGTATAAATCTATTTTGCAGCCATATCATATTGCCAGCCTTGTCTCATTCACTTTTAGCTTTCACCCTTCTGCTTCCTATATCATTAATCCTGCCCAGACTTCACATTTTTATCTGTGTTTTTAATTGGATTCCCCCAGATATATTAGTTGCACTTTTTTTTTTTTTTTTTTTTTTTTTTTTTTTTTTTTAGGGAAAACACCTTTTTTTTTGTAAGAGGAAACTCACTTTGTTCTTTTGGACTGAGGTTTCTCATCTCTCCAGGTCTCTGTGTCATGTCATCTAACTCATTGGCTTTCACAGCACCGTTCAATGAGATCATTTTCAGGTTACTGTCCTGTTCACTCTATCTGTCTGATCATAGCAAAAGAGCTAACTGAAAGCAGCACTGATCTCCAAAGCCAATCACCTGGCTATTTCCTTTAGCATCTGCTTTGGCTCTCTTACCCAGCGATAGCCATTTCTACTCTATCCCATTTGACTGATTTCTCAAAGCAATTTCAGTTTAACTTTTTTTTTTTTTTTCCCCACATCCCTGCTCATTTCCAAGTATGAATGAAGACAGACCTTCTGTACCTGTCTGCTGAAATCAACATCATGCCTCCAAATCAGCCTGTAATATAAGCTATGGGCAGTATATAGTACATTTCAATTTCATCACTGAGAATTTATATATGCTCTGGCTTCTGTATTTAGAATACAAATACCTATTTGGACTCTAGCCAGACAGCAAGATGAGTAGAAATAATAGAAGCCAACAATAGCAGTTATTAGCCTTGAATTCATTTCCTTCATTTTTAGTTTGTGACCACCAATGATGATGAAATAGCTATTTTTTGCTGCACCCAAATCTCTTCTCTGGCCAGAGTATTCAGTGTGCTGTTTGTTTATAATTACTTCTGGATGATTTTAATAAAAATGGGAAGGAAACAATCTGATTTGCATAATAGTATGAATGATGTGAATACTAATGATTTTTTATTTATTAGTAAAAAAAAAAATCCCCTGGCATTTACGGGAGACAAAAGCTCAATGCAGAATGGTTCTTATGCTCTTCAGATGGAACACCTAAAATATAAAGAACTTATTAGGAGGAAAACATGGGAGATTATTTGATTGAATTATTCAAATCTTTATTCTGATTAATATTAATTGCTCATATTATTTTAATTAGATACATAGAAAGGGATGGATGAATCAAATTAGGTGAGATTTCAACTAGTAAAAGTTATCTGACAAGTACAGTCAGGTTTTAATTGATCTGCTAGTGTACCAACCTTTTTATATGAGCCCTCTGTAGTTTAGCTTATGGTTTTTATCCAAAAGCCATATAAAAATATTTCATTTGTATGTGCCCCAAATCTGCAACACATCACTTGATACTTCCATCAATTTAATTTCTGAGCTGGAATTAAAAGCCACAAAATGTCCGATTGCGCTATGAAACTATGTGAAAATGATATCAGATGCTGTAGACATATTCATATATTTTTTCTTTTTTTTTTCTTCATTTCTAGAGACTTTGTTTTTGTTTTGACCTGCTGTGGGGCTGTGCAGTGCTTTGTTGCCGTGCAGACAGCGATTGTAGTGAAGATGGTTGGCAATTACATTGAACTAGACTGCCCATACTCACTCTCAGTTATTATCTGCATGGGGAGTGTTTCCATTAGCTACTTGCTGGAAACATCCTGAATGAAATAAGCATCTTCTGCTATTTGATTTGTGCCTTGGTATGTGTGTACGTGTAATGACTCCTGTGGTACTCACGAAAATGCCAGAATTGCATGTAGTCAAATGGTAAATTCACCTCAGGGAAATTATATATTGCCAAAGAAATCAGTTTCCACAAAACCTTTTAATTACGAAGTAGTGAGAGAGAAACCATCAAAACATCCCTAGCAACAACCGTCAGGGTGTCTGACCAAGTGAAAAAGTCTGCTGTGAGTCTCTGTTACTATGGATATATATGAAATTCATGCAGTCAAGTCTAGTAAAAGTTTCAGTTCTCATTAATTCCAGACCTCTGTTATACAGCTTATATGAAAGGAGAGCCAGATCTTTGCTGAATCTGTCCTATCCATCAGCTGCAAAAGCCAGCAGAAGCCACTCAAGAGGAGCAGCAGAGAATTCCCAGACAGAGGGGACTTTTCCATTATGACATATTTTATGGAAAGGCATACAGAAGGGAATAGGAGGAACATCAAATAAGCAAAAGCAGAACAAGGCCCCGGATGCAAGTAGAAATCACATAGCTGCGTGGCATTGCTGGAGGACTAAGAAACGCAGCCCCTTTAAGCATAGTACCACTACTCTTCACACCTGTGTAATACCATAGCTGAGGTGTAATACCATACACTTCTCAGGTTCACAGCATGTACAAAGGAGCAAAAAGGGGCACTTTTCATGCCAGCTGGCTAACGAACACTGAAGAATATGTGCTCTGGTGAACTTAGTTTACTAGGCAGTTCTCTTACAACTAGCTGCCCATCTGCAAATGTAGTCCTACAGTCCTATAACCCATATCAGTCCTATGGAATATGCAGTGTCTCACTGTTTTTTCAGGGTACTGTGCAGGGACATCAGAGTCCTACGTTATTAAGCTGGCTGAAAAATGCAGGATATGTATTCGTGATTTATGAGTTCAATGCGTGAAACACTAGTGCATTAACAATATTTATGGATGATAATAAAGAAGATTAATTCACTTGTAATGACCACTGATGGGCTGTTTTTCTCTTAATGTGTCCTTATTTATAAGAAGGTTTAAGTGCCTAGCAGTTTATAGTCCATCGGGAAAACATAAAGACTTTATTCACTGGTCGTATTATTCAGTATGGATATTATGCTAAGGATGCTAAGGATTCTTTGCTAAGGATGAGGCTTCAGAAGAGTTACAACAGATTTCTACCTGGAAATTATAAATATGCATGCTAGAATTCCTCTAAGAGAACTGGGTCTGTCTTTGTTGTTTGAAGGAACATCTGAGGAATTCAAAAATGTCATGAGTTTGAATACAGCTTTCTAAATGCTAAAGTTGACCACTACCACATCTATTAGTGAATGAAGTAAAGTCACAGGCACTTCAAAGAATAATGTTAGGTGTGGCTTTTGCACAAAATTTGCAAAAAAATGAGGACTGCCCAGTTTCTGTGAAAAGTCTTGCACATCCCACAACGTTCATTCATGCTATGTCCTATTGTTATTGAGAGGTTTCTGTTTACTCTCTTCTGTTTCACCAGTCAAGGAAGGGAAAGTAAAAATTCAGACAACAAGTCACCTGCTTTCTATTAAAAATAATTCAACCACGCACTGTGTAATTGCTTCGAGTTGATAGAACTGGCACCCTTGCATCAAGATTTGCTTCTTCCTTCTCTTCTTTCTTAACCCTGCCTAGATCATATAGTAGTCAGTAACTTGACTAGTTTATGCCAGAATATCTTTATCATTGTTCACACACTGAAAACTTTAAGGAGCTGAAACAATGCCCAAGTGCAGATGTAGCTCTCAGGGAAAAATGGAAATATTGCCCAAGCCAAAGGACAAGACAGCTGGGGGTCCTTTTTCCATAGTGTGGTGGGTTATGACTAAAACAAAAATTTTTAGAAACCTTTCCTTCTTCTTGCCTCCTATCACCCACCAGTGTTGGAAACTTCCTGAGCTGAAAAGTCCATCCAGATCAAAGCGTTTAACAACTGCTCTGAGTCTGATATCCTTTAAACCTTGTTTAAAGTTTAAACTGGTTTGCTGGGAGTCCTTGCACAATTACTAGGGATGATTGATAATAAAAATGTGGCAGGATTCATAGTCTGAATTGCATAAATCAAGGTGATTCTAATGAGGAGCAAAAAATCATTAAACAAGAATTCTTACTCTTGTCTTACACTACATTTACAATTTATAATGTAAAACGTCAGTTTGATAATAAGAGTTCAGCATACTCTACACAGGATTAGGTGGTATAAGGGCCTAGCCCTTAATGAGTTAATCAAGATAGAGTAGGCAGTCAAGCAGTACTGATCTAGCATGCTACTCCTTTCTAACTTGCCCTTAGAAAACTGGAAGTGAGAATGATCTAATAAAGATTACTAACTCATTTAGAGCTAACTGTATGAAAGGGGCTAGCTATTATATCAATATAAAGCCCTCTCAGTTCTGGCAGAAGAAAGAGCGTCCTTGAGATTTCAAGTTTCTAAGGATAATGAAGCAGGTTCTGGCAACCTGAATTCCACTTCAGTGTCATTGCATTGTGATTCCTATTAGCTGTTCACCTGTGAAGACCTAGCATCAGGGAAGAGGAAATGCCAGGCTCGAGGACTTAAATGTAATTTGTGCCGTGTGAATCTGCTGTGCTCAGGCAAGTCCTGCTGCCTACCATAAGCTTTCTGACATCCTAAAAGACAGAAAAAGCAAAGTCAAGAAAGTGCATCAGCCATGGACGAGGCACATGGCAGGGCAAGACTATCTTGGAATATGAGATTAAATGGTTGTTAACAGATCATTTCTCTCAGGGAGAGGATATGAAACATAAAGAGTTTGTTTTTGAGAGGAAGAAAGGAAGACAGAATATCATTAGCAATCTATGTTTGTGATTTGTGGCTTGCTAGAGGCAAAAAGCAATATTTTTAAGGAAAGACGTATGATGTGACAACTTTATGATAAAAAACAGAGTGAAGGGAAACAGAACAAATATACATCTTGATTGCTTTCTAAAGCCTGTATCTCAGCCTCTACTTCTGCCACCAATGCTAATAAGTTTGGTGGTCATTTTTGAATAAAGGTCATCCTCGTGTTTTCATTTACAGAAGAAAAAGAATAATTGCGAAACAAACAAAAAGAGAACAGAGACAGAAAGGAAGGAGGTAGGGCTAGGTTTACCACTCCCTCAGTTCTGCCCACCTTCAAACAAAAGAAGTGCATAAAGTTGAAGTATGGAGATCCAGCACAACATTTTTCAACATCTTGACATAAGTTTTCAGGGATTCCAGGCACTAGTTTGAAACTAGCATCTCAGTTTCTTAGAGAAGGAGCTTCAGTAGCTCGTGTCACTGAGGCATATTTACTGTTTTAAAAGTTTGATAAACAATTTAAAAATATGTATTTTATAAGGAAATATGCATGTCTTACAGCTGTGTATCCAAAGGGCAGGGGCACCATTACCTCAAAAAGGGTTTTGCATGTACAATTGCTTGTTGCACGACTTGAAATATCTTTTTCCAAAGGGAACTTCACATTCCGCCTAAACATGAGCAAAATTTTCTAAATTCACTTAGATTGTACTTTCACAAAAAAAAAAAAAAAAAAAACATTCTATTCGCAAGCAGGTCTTAGATTGCCAGTATTTTACCTTTCCTCATTCCTCTGTGGCACTGTTAGATTTTTATACTACTAATCATGTGTGCTTAGTATTAATGTTCTCCATGTATCTGTGATGTGTTCTGTTTTGTCAGTTTGGGACGGGGACTGAAAAAGTAGCAAAGAGGCTTTGTACTTGTCTTTAGTACCATGAAGTATTTTAAAATTATGAGTTAATGCTGCAAATAGTGAACTTTCCACATGCTGACAATTTCAAACACTTGTACAATATTTAATTGGTGCCTAACTACCTCACAAGTGCCCGCTGTAATCAGATATCATTGTACTCTCCCATCTTCTTCTAGTTCTGTGATGTAGAGTTGTTTTATGAGATCAGTCATTTATTTCGTAATATCTATGGCCCAAATGCTGAGAGAGCAAAAGAAGATGTTAATTTCACTAACTGGCAGTGAGACCGATATTTGGTAGACACTAACATCCAT